ATTATTACCAGTGTACTGAATAAAGCGCCGGACTGTACCACTACATAATGCAGGATTTACGGTATAACGAATTGGCACAATGAGCGATGAAGCCTTGCACTCCCTTAGGAGAACAATCTTTCCTTCCTACTCACAACAGATTAAATCAGAAAATATAACAGATGATTCTGTTATACTTATATAGAAAATGTTTAATATCCTATCCATTTTAATAAAACAGGGATACCTTACATTTTATATATTCAATTTAAGTTTTTTTATTTACAATTTCCGATGATGGAGTAATAAAAATAATAACCCAGGACAATTCACACAGAGCCATCCGATCCCAAGTCCCTATGGGTACTTAAACGACTTAAATACATAAATAATATACATAGGAAATAACCAGATCAATACAGACAATCATACTCATTAATACAAATGTTTGTGTCATGCGAGGAATCGAACCCGTGACCAGCGGAATCAAGATGGTGGTTCAAAAGCTAGACCGCCAAGACCACAAGAATGGTGACATCTGAGTTAACTATATGTATACTAAAAAAATATGTCAAGGAAAAAAAGGTACAGCCAGATAATCACTTTTGCATTTACAATATTATTATGTATAATTGTATGTATTCCAATCTTCTCGTCGATACCGGATGCTGCGTGAACAACCGGAAATCGCATCTCGCTTGCTATCACTGACGAAGAGTAATGGCGAGAAAATAAGAACGTTTCTCAAAACTCTGTACATACAATATTTGGCTGGACAGGGACAGAAACAAATTATGCGGTCGAAGTGAGAGCAAGAGGTATACCAGTGAATCTCTACAATCTTCTAAAAGATCTTGTCTACCTATCTATGTCTGTCAATTTAGAACTGCAGTGGGTTCTACATTAAAACTTGTACCTAAACACTCCTACCAGATTTCGCTGGGCAAGGAGAGAAATATTTTGTATGCGGTCGGGGAGCGAGAAGAATACCAGCGAAATATCTCTACAATCTTCTAAATTACCTTGATTTATCTAGAACTGAAGTGGGTTCTATATTCGATTTTGTACCTAAAGGTTCCTACCAGATTTCGCTGGGCAGAAAAAGAAATATTTTATATGCTGTCGGGACGCGAGAGGTATACCAACGAAATCTCAATAATCTTCTAAAAGATCTTGGTCTATCTATAATAGATATGCAGTGGGTTCTACATTAAAACTTGTACCTAAATGCCCCTACCAGATTTCTCTGGGCAGGGAAAGAAATATTTCGTATACGGGGAACGAGAGGTATACCAGCGAAATCTCTCTACAGTCTTCTAAAAGATCTTGGTCTGTCCAGTTTCTGTGCGGTCGAAATGGGCGTAAGAGGAATACCAGCGAAATCTTTCTATAATCTTCTAAAAGATCTTAGCCTCTCCAGAACTACATTGGGTTCTATACTAGAACGTGTACCGAAAACTGTACTAGCAGGCTCCAATAAGATTTGGCTGGGCTAGAAGATAAACACGAGCAGTGAAGGTGAGTGTTGACTTACGGCAAGGAACCCCTTATACCTACACCCGATCCATAAGTTCTGGGAACTGCTCGAAGTTTCTCTCTGCCACATAATGGACCTGGCACCCGCATGGCGAATTCTCGGCTAAGAAGTTCGTCTCTTTATAGTTGACCTGCTTTGAATACCCTCAACAGATACCTGGAATCTGGTACCAGATACCTGGAACGACCTGGAATCTGGGTATGCAACCCAGATTCCAGGTCGTTTCAGGTACAACCTTCTGAAATGGAATGTTGCTGTCCGGGAGGCTTGCAACAGCGGGGCTCCGTCCCAATAGATGAGAATAGAATGGTGCCCAGCCAACATAAACTAGAGGCTATGTTGGCTGGGCACCTATGGAGGACGATAAGATGAACATGAGCTCCCAGTGGTAGCGTAAGCTAATTTTACCTAAATGCCGTCTACACAAAGTTAGTAATTCATTTTTTGGTAATTACGTAAGATTTTATAATAAACTGCCAGAATCTACTCTAAATCTGACAGAGAGGTAATTATATTATATTTAACCTTAATATTAGATATATATTAGAGCTAGTATATAATTTGTCTTCACAAGTTTCGAATTGTATAATGTGAACTTACAAGGATTATTTAAAAGAGCTGCACACAAGTTTCTTGCTCGTTCTTCTTGTGATGAGACAGCTTTCTTCTTGCGACGAGACTATTCAAAAGTGCTTAAATTAAATTTATTTGAATTTATATTAATTAATAAAAAAATATATAATAAAAAAAGTGGAGAACGATAAAATGAACATGAGCTCAAGTCAGTTAGCCCATCGTGACAAATTCACCAGTAGTTTATAACGTTGGTTTCCTGGGGGGGCCGCTTGGAGGTCGACCTGACACATTACACAGTACATTGCTAGCAATAGGGCCCCATAACAGTTCCCTTGCCCCTCGTTACAAAGAATGACATAGGCTATATTATGTTAATGTATACACATAATGCACTCTACGTCATCATATATTAACGGCTTCGGTGATCCAGTAGCTCGCCGCCTTACTTCCGATGGTCGCGGGTTCGATTCCTCGCACAAATATTTGTATTCATGAGTATGATTGTTTGTATATATAATATGTATGTATTTACAAAAAAATTAAGTATTTATATCAGTTGTCTAGTACCGAAAACAGAAGCCCTGCTTACCATGGGACTAGATGGCGCTGTGCTGATTGTTCAAGATTATTTATTATTATACACGACTCAAACAGTTATGGACGCGAGCAAATACCGGGCGGTCTACAAGTTAAGATAATAAAAGACATCCAATCAACATGTTTAGACGTTAAATTAGTTTCGTCCTATTTATAAACTAACGAACGTGAATTTCAGTTGTACGTAACTAATTCTCAAATTTTGTTCATAATTAAGTTTCGTAATTGCCTCGTAACATTATGTTCTACATAAATAATCTCATGTATAAGTGTGTAGAGTACTTAATAAACATTTGACGATTAGGTATGAGCCGGTACGTACTATAAATAATTGGCTCAGTACAGTAAACTAATTTGACACATGACTTACTAGCTATGCCCGCGCCCTCAACCGCATGAAATTTATACCCTATCTTATTCTGATGTATAAGCTATATTACTGTAAAGTTGCATCAAAATCCGTTCAACTCATTGACAAAGATCATCAAAATCGGACACGAGGACCTGGAATACGTCAATGACTACATATACTTAGGTCAAGTTATCTCTACTGAAGATCAAACTACAAAAGAGATAAATCTGAGAATAGCTACAGGTTGGAAAAAATACTGGATTCTTAAGGAAATAATGAAGTCTAAAGACCTAGCAATGGCAATCAAAAGAAAAACCTTCAATACCTGCATACTCCCATGCCTAACTTATGGCTGCGAAACTTGGGCCTTGACCAAGGCTCATAGAGCAAAATTAGCCACCTGCCAAAGGGCTATGGAGAGAAGTATGGTCGGAGTACGAAGACTGGACCGGGTAAGGAACAGTGATCTTAGGTTGAGGACGAAAGTAACAGATATATTGTCAAAAATAGACCAGCAGAAGTGGCGATGGACTGGCCACATGATGCGAGATACAAGGGAAAAATGGAGTAGAAAAATAACAGAGTGGTATCCTAGAGAAGGAAAGAGAAAGAGGGGAAGGCAGATGATGAAATGGGAAGATGAGTTGAAGTCAACTGTGGGCACAAAATGGAGAAGAGTTGCACAGGATAGGAGTCAATGGAAGTCGCTGGAGGAGGCCTATGCCAAAAGGCACACTGAAATTAGAGACAAATTATAAAAAAAAAAAAAAATTGTATACTATAATTAAAAAAAATATATTTGTAAATTTCAGAATAAATGGCTTATTATATAATATTGGAAGAAAGATTGTTAAATAAAGGGTAATATTATTAATAGCGGTTGGAACTCTTAAACAGATTTTGTATAAGTTCTGATTTTATATATTTATTTAAACTTTATTGTACAATGGGCCGGCTTAATGCTATTAGCATTCTCTACCAGCCAAGCTTAGGGAGTGCAGAGATACTTGAAGCCGATTAGTTAATTAATTAAAAATATATAATATATGAAATAAACAGTAAATAAAATATAACACAATACAAAATATTTACTAGCAGATCCGGCAAACGTTATGCCATATAAATTAATACCGCTATTAAAAGTTATGGGTTGGTGGTACAAGGGTGAAAATTGAGGAGTGTATGTATTTTTTAAACAAACATCTTAAAAAACTAATAAATAAAAATTTGTGACCCCTTTCCCTTGTGGCATAAAAAATAGATAACAACCTCGCAGACGTATCAAGTATATATAATATATATATAGATATAAGACATATCTATATAAATTCCTCCAAATGATGATGAACATACATTTCTCACAACACTTAAACCTCAAGAAGTCAACTTGTTTACTATTTCAATAAATAAAAATAAATATGTACCTGTCCATTTATCCGTTTTTTATAGCTATAAGTTAAAAAACGAAATAAAAATATTAATCACAATTAATATCTAACGACTATTTCTCATTAAATCAGAAAATATAACTGTTATATTTATATAGAAAATGTTTAATAAATGGGATACCTTACATTTTATATATTCAATTTAAGTTTTTTATAGCCGAATTATCTATAGCCGAATCCATAATATCATATTCGTAATGAATTTATAAATGCTATAAATAATAATTTGCTTTATAAATAGGGCAATTTTTAAAGAATAGATCGAAAATATTTGATAATGTAATAACTTCTTATGGCACGATTCGACTATTTATTGTTGGCAACTCATTGAAAATGACTGACATATGTGCAGTATGACGATTGACATTTCAATGACATTTTTATAAGATCTGTGGAATTCGGAATTATATAAAAAAACATTAGAATTTTAGGTTACTTATTTCGTTTCATAGCAGTTTAAATTAATATCATTTTAAACCAAATATCATAAGAATTTATAAATGTATGTCTAATATAATAAAGAAAAATGGCTATGATTAGAACTGGTTTACAGAAATTTGCCAATATAATTAGTAAAGGACCAGGTGAAGTATCTTTTTAGTAATAATAGACAACAAAAATACATTTATTGATAGCAATAACGAATTATAATATTTTATTTATGAATTCTAGGTGGCATTTTATCAAGATTCGTCACAAGTTTAGCGCCAACAGAAAAAAATGCGCCAGAAACTACTAAAGACGTTATTGCTTGTTGCAATAAATTAATAGAAGAGAATAAATCAAGAAACTTCGCCATAATACATTTGCTGGGAAAACAGTGGCGAGTGACAGACGGTGACCTGCTAGTAGTAGAAGGTTACTGGCCACCGAACATTGGAGATAAGATCAAATTGGAAAAGGTGTTACTCGCTGCAACAAAGGACTTTTCTCTGATTGGTCGACCTCTTGTACAGCCAGGACTAGTTAATGTAACTGCTACTATAATTTCTAAAGGACTTTCGCACACCCGCACACATTTCAAGAAGAAGAGGAGGAAACAATTTATGAGAATCAACTTCCAACGAGCACAACAAACAATGCTTCGAATAAACTCTGTAGAAATTACTAATAAGATCAATGAACCAGCTAAAAATATATTTTAAACATAGTATTAGGAACTCATTTACTAAGAATCAATAAAACAAACAATATGTAGTTCACATATTTTTTTTATTTCTTATTTCATATATTAACCATTGTAATTATCTAAAAGATCTTTCATCAGTCATTAAATTTTACATTATCACAGTACTCTTGAAAGACATTTTTATGTTCTTCCTTTAAAAATCTTTTCATACCTTTGAATAAATAAAACATTTTTCTATTTTCCATTACACTTTTTAAAAATTGTATAAATTGTGTGTAGTCACCATCTTTCTTATATGCAGAGATGGATAGTTGAAATTGTTTATATTGATCTGCTTCGAGCAATGTTTTAATTTCTTTCACAAAATCTATTAATGATGTTGGAGCTACTTTATTACTCAATGTTACACTACTCTGCAGGTTTTCCTCAAACCCAAATGGTTTGATTTTTAACTTCTTTTTTTTAGCAACCACTGCACCTTCAATTTCAACTGAATTCCTTTTGTGAATGTTGACTAAAGATTGTGATGTTGATTGCACAGCAGACTCATTACTACAATCTAAAGCACTAAAAAGATCCTTTGCTTGTTTCGGTTTAAATTCATTCACATATGCAGATTGTGCATTTTTGTAAAAATCCATAGAAAAATTTGCATACACTTCATTTGAGTTTGGATACTGATTTACTGACTTTTTACTTTTTTGTAAAACTCTAGCATTGGTTGCAGGAAATGATACACCAGTAATGCTAGTTGTCGTATTTTCTTTGGAACCCAAATTTGACTCATAGGGAAGCAAAGGTTTAAGTTTCGGAGGTGGCAATGATGCTTCAGCATTTTTGAAGAATCTGCATATCTCACTGACTGTCTCTCCAAACTTATTAGATACATTAATATGATCTCTCAACCATGCAGATAATTGACCTTTCAGCTTAGGACTATTAAATCTACTGTCACACAGTAAAATAGCACCATAATCATTTTGATGCCTAATAACTCTACCTATAGCTTGATTCACAGCCCTGGTGGCCTCCAAAGAATACCATTCATCCCCAGAAAGAAAATCTTTTCCTTTTGTACGAAGCTCTTCCAGATATTTTTTCTTTAATATAATTCTTGGATCTCTAAGTGGTGGAAATGGTAGTCCAGTAATAATAACAGCTCTTCCATTCATATCAGCAAAATCTAGACCCTCAGAAACTTTGCCTCTACATACTGCTAAAAAACAAGCTCCTTTAGTGCTGGAATCAGTTATTTTAGAATAGTAGTCATTAATTACACTGTTAAATGTATCTTTTCTCTGTGGTTCAACAAAAATTGGTTTTATGTTATTTATACTTGACCAAATTCCTTCTGCTTGCCACATTTCCTGACATTTTGCCATAATTGGATAAGATGGAAAAAACACTAAAAGTCCATCTGGCACAACACGGCAAAAACTTAATATTGTTCTACCTAAGGAACAAATATATTTGGGATTATCCCTATTCTGATAATTTGAATTTAGAGGTGTAGAATCTGGGCCTTGGCTTATAATTTTTACACATATTTGTTTACTTTTAATTATGTGAGGGTTTTCTAACTGTACTCCAATTGGAATACCCAATTCTGATATTAATGGTTTCAAGGGAGCTAGGGTGCCACTGGTCAATATTATACTTCTAACATTTTGTTCTACCAACTGTTGCATACCAAACCCTGGACTAAAACACCAGTAACTAAGGACTCGCTCTGCAGTTTTAGAATTTGTTGTTTTTAAAGATCCCCAGCTGTCTGACTTTTTATTGTTCTTTTTATCTTCTACTTGGACATGAACTTTATAACATAATTTAACTCTCTCTTTGTAGGCATGTGTGGTGCCACTGAATACAACATTTAATAAATCTACTATTTTCTGCAAACCAATTCCCTTACGTTGAAATGGAGATGCACTAGCTGTTGATAAGTATTGAATAAGATTCCCTATTAGTGTTATAACCGCCATCTGATTGTGATCCTTTATTTCAGCTTTCGATAGTAGTTCAAATATAAATTCTCCTGGGTAGGTTACACCTTCGCTGCCCACATTAATTTCATCAATAGCTTTCTCAAATGCTAGCATCATTTCTTTTAGTACACATAAATCATCACAGGTGAAATCTTTAGTCTGACCACTATCACCTGTTGAATCCATTTGGTCTTCACTATTTTCACTGAATGATCTCATAATATGAGTTATTTCATCAATACAAACAGCAACATCGGTAGTTCTAACCTGTAAAGAGGCAGATTCTTCACACATTTTCTCAACATTATGAGCTTCATCTAGTATCACAATATTATTCATAAGCTCTACCCCATTAGCTTTTCTGGATTTAGGATCTAAAATATAATTATAAGGCATAAACACAATATCTGCATCCTGTTTTAATTCCTTTGATAAATAATAGGGGCAACATTTTATTTTTTTCCCTACAGCCACTAAGTCTTCTATGTCCAATATGTCATCACCTTTTACAGCCCTATCATCTTTTTTAGACTCAACATTGTTATAGAAATGACATGTTCGAGATTTAACCTTAAGCTGGCACATGTGGACCTTATTGGTATTGTTGGTCTCCTTTGAAACCTCTGGATGAATACACATTTGATCTCGTGAGCCTAAAACTGCAGCCTTAACATGTCTATAGCTAGATCTTTTCAATTCTTGCATAGCCTGAGTAAGTTGTGAATGTGTTCGGGATGAATAAATGATTTTCGGCATTCCCCACGATACATTATCCTTTCCTTTCCCGGCACCAGACTTCAAATTATCTTTCAATGACCCACTGAAACCACTGTGTTCCGAAAAATTGCCGACTTGCGCGTTCATTTGCAACTGAGCTTTTTTTACTAATAACCATGCCAGCGAAGAACAAAGTAAGCTTAACGTCTTTCCTGTTCCTGTGGGAGACTCCAATAAGGCATTAGTATTGTTTTGTAAACTTTCAATCACTTTTTCCATATATGCTTTCTGGACATCATATGGGTCAAATGGGAAATTAACGGGTATACCGGATATCATTATTTCTGGCATGATAATGTTGAAACGATTCTTACTACGCACATGTATAAGAAATATATTCACATTAAAACTGTCATAGTTAAGTATATTAAATAAATAATTAGGACAATAGTATTTCAGGCTGTATTTTGGCGGTAAATATTTTAATTGCAGTATTTTTTCTATTTCAAGGTATTGGAGGATTTGTCAATTTGCCATAGACAATTGGTAAAATATTGTATAGTTATTACTGAGGAATGAAAAAAATTGTATGTTATAATTTTCATCACCAATAAGCAAAATAGAGACACATAATTTTAAGAAAATATGATATATTATAAAAGACTTTATGATAAAAAATTGGGATAGTAAAAAAAGATTGTATGTTTAGATCCCAAAAAATACGAAGATTACTGTAATTACATAGTGTTATTTACTATTCAGTGTCTTTAAACCTTAACTTTATTTTGTTACCGCTGTGAGTTGTGAGTGTGAGCCGTTTGCCTCTGAAGCTATATAGAGTTTCCGCTACAGTGAGAAACATATTTTTGACAAGTCACTAACAATTGACACTGACGTCTTAACTGTTCAGCTGTTGCGAACAAAAAGTAATAAGAAATAAATAAGCAGGTTATAATAACCTCTAAAATTAAATTCATCAACAAAAGTACATCTGTAAATACAATTCTTTAATGCTTTTAAATTGTGAAATATGAAAGTGTCCGTGGACCAAGTATATACTTCTGTTGCCTGCAACAGAGTACCAGAAATAGCCGACTGGAACACAGAAGGACTTGTGTGTTTTGGAGCCACAAATGCTGTTGTTATTTACGATACAGTAAGATCAACTTTTAATATTACACTTTTCATATAGGTATCCTTTTATTAAACAATTTTGATATAAAATTAATATTACTTATAAGGCCGAACATATTGTAACTTTTTTTTTATTACTGAAAAAATAATAATAAAAAGTTTTATTTTTTTCAGACTATAAAAGGCAAAGATCCTCTTACTGTACTCTGCCATCATAAATCCACAGTGAACTCAGTGAAATGGGTTTCTAAACCCAATGATACATGTACAGAAGTGGTGTCATGTTCTGCAGATAAGACTGGTGTCATATGGAGTTTACAAGATGGTGTTTGGAGAGTGACAAGCACTCTCACAGGTCATACAGATGGTGTTACCTGTGTGTGTGCAATTTACACAGAAGAAAATAACTTAGTTATATATACTGCATCTATAGATTCTACTATTAGGATATGGGAGAGGTGCAACGGTATGTATATAAATATATGTTCACTATTGTTAATCCAGTTGGGGTAGTCAGAGATGTCAAATTTATATTGTGGTGAACTTAACACTTACATGTTCATATTGATGTCGGCCAGATGCCAACCCAAGACCTTTCAGTGTCAATTGGGTATTATTATATAGTATACTAGCTGTACATACAATTTCGTCTGCATGGAATTTAACTTTATTTTTCTAAAATAAAGGTAACCTAAGTTACTCCTTATTACATCAGCTACCTGCTAATAAAAGTCCTGTCAAAATCGGTCCAGCCATTTCAGAGATTAGCGGGAACAGACAGACAGACAAAAATTGTAAAAAAAATTTGTTTTATTGTATGTACCGTATTTATATTCATATGCATGTAGTAAAAAACAGTTTTTTCAATATTACAAACAGACACTCCAATTTTATTTATATGTGTAGATAATATGTATTGATATATGATATTACCCACCAGGCTGTAATACTCGTTTTTTAACTAATATTATAAATGTGAAAGTATTCTATTTAGATTATGACAATATCTATTAAATTAACACAATGTAGCCAGCCATTTTAAATATGAGTTTTAATTATAGTGAAAAATATTTTTTATCATATAATTATTTGTTAAACATAGCTAATTTAGGAACACTATCTTATATATAAAATTCTCGTGTCACAGTTTTCGTTTCCATACTCCTCCGAAACATGATTGACCGATTCTCATGAAATTTTGTGAGCGTATTGAGTAGGTCTGAGAATCGGCCAACATCTATTTTTCATCCCCCTAAATGTTAGGGGTAATCCACCACTCCCAAATTTTTTTATTTTATTTTAACGCAAAACAATGTTTGCTGGGACAGCTAGTCATTATATAAAATAAAGTCGCTGTTGCTGTCTGTCCCTATGTATGCTTAAATCTTTAAAACAGATTTTGAAGTGGTTTATTTCAAATCTATCTCTTAAAATAAACCGCTTCAAAATCTGTTTTATTTGTTGAGTTATTCTAGAGGTAGGTTTATATATATATAATACATGTACACCTGTGTGAAGCCGGGGTGAGTGGCTAGTTAATTAATAAAAGCAACTAAAATATATTTCTTATAAATACCTATATTTTATTCATAATTTAAGAGCCACAGTTAAACTCTTGTAAGAGAATCTCTAGACACAACCAAATATGTCTACAAAATAAAATAACAATAAACTCATATATATATATATCAATATTTTTACCAGGAATGACAGAATAAGGAATGAGTATATACGAGGAAGTTTCTGGTTATAGAAAATTCCAGGTAACAGATTCATGGGCATGTTATGTGGAGGAACGAGGACCATGTCTTATGGAAAGTGTATAATATGAATGTGGATGGATCACAAGATCCATATATGGAATGTGGTGAAAGATGATATGAATAAAAGAAGAGTATGTTTAGATATGACGATTGATAGAGATCAGTGGAAGAGAATGACATATGTTCTAAATATGGGATAAAGGCTATTGATGATATATATCAATTATCTTTTATTTTTTGTTTTTGAGATGAATGTAGTAATAATAAGTCCAACCTACATCTACATCTACATCTACATCATATCAATTATTTTTCAGGCCAGACTACTCATAGACAAACAATAGACCTACACTCTGGTCTATGCCTGACATTCCAAGCTCATCTTCTACCAGTGGTGAACAAGCCAGCACTGATCTGTGCGTTGGATGATCACAAGATCCATATATTTGCTGGTGATGAGTACCATAGAGTTCATACTCTTGTTGGACATGAAGATTGGGTGCGAGGATTAGATGTTCTAAATATTGGTAAAATCTATTTTCTATTTATATTATTGTTTTAATATTTGTATTACTCTTACAATTCTTTTATTAGATGAATGTAGTAATAATAATAACCTAGAACAATTCATACAAGACATTGGGATTAAGTGACAACCTAATCTCAAGATAAGCAGAGCTTGTGTTATGGACACTGGGAACTGATATAATTACTTAGATTTTTTTTTTGTAAATACGTACATAATAAGTGCAATAAAGTATATATATATAATAGAAAACATCCAGTCGAGGAATTGAACCTGCGACCATCAGAAGTAAAGTGGTGTGCTTAACCACTAGACCGCAGACACTGTTAATTTATTTTATTGTAATGTTGGTATCTTATATTCAATGTATACAGCCTATGGTATTCCACTGTGGCTAGTTTTTCTTGGCAGTTTCTCTCTTTACCTCACGATGGACTTGGACTCTGTATTAATCTATAGAATGCTAATAATTTCGTGGAATTTATCAATAATTTGCGGGATGCCTTCTAACTTTTTAGCAATTAAATAAAATAATAATCAAGTGAAAATGGAAAAGGAACTTTAACTTAATTGTAGGGTTTTTGATCCAAATATATAATTGCTCTCCCCGTCAACATATTCCCATCAAAAATTTACTCGAGGCGTAGTAAGCCGATTGCAAGATATGAAAATAAAAAAGCTATGTAATTTAATTTTGGACTTTAACACATATTAATTATGGTTTACATTTTAATAACAATGTATGTATGTAAAGATGTAAAGGGAGGGGACGCCCTAAGAAAAGATGGGTGGATTGTGTGAAAGATGATATGAATAAGAGAAAAGTATGTTTAGATATGACGACCGATAGAGAGCAGTGGAAGAGAATGACATACTTGTATCTCCCTTTCAACCCCTTACAACCCTTTTTTCGTCTCCGCCTATACTTTCTCAGGATACAATATCTGTATACTAAAATTTGAATGGGATAAAGGCAAGGCAATGATGATGATTTTAATAACAATATTGTGACAGATTAGTGTTATTTCACAGATAATTCCACAATATTACTAGCATCTGCCTCTCAAGATACATATATCCGATTGTGGAGAATCGAACACCACACGGAAGAGCCGGCAACTGGTGGGATTAGAGTTGAACAGAAGCTGTTCACTGCTTATGGAATTAGTTGGTCAGTGAAACTGGACGCTGTGCTCGCCGGACATGAGGGATGGGTGTATGGGGTACAGTGGCATCCCTACAGGGTTGATAAAGGTAAGATTTTTTTTATTGGATTTTAATTTTTTTTTCTTTGTTGATTCCTCAAGACTGAGGGTCGTGACCACCAGGAATGATTTTTCCAACCAAATTTTTATATTATAATTTTTTCCACCATCCTACTGTATAACATTTTAGCATAGTAGGGTGTGGGAAAAAACTTGTTTGTAATCAGAGACTACATTCAATCTTCACTTCAAATATGCAATTTCATGCATTATGGATAGAACGGACACAGAATGTTTTTCAATTTGATATGATATTAACGTTCAAAAAAAGATCTTATTCCTTAAAAGGCCGACAACATACTTGCAATTCTCTGGTGTTGCGGGTGCTCATGGGCGGCGATAATCACTTACCATCAGGTGAGCTGTATGCTCGTTTGTCTCCTGCGTTATAAAAAAAATCTATAACGGTCATGGAAGACGAAATCACGAGAAAGTATATATTTGTATCGCGCTAAGACTCGAACCCGTGATAATCGGAAGTAAGGCAGTGTGTAAACCGCTAGACCACCGACCCATCAATAAGATACACTAACAAGTGCAACTTATTGAATATCAATTACAAACTCTTTTTGTTTTATTTTGGCACAAAACAGACATACACTAGTAATCAAATTTAACCATTTTAATCATTTTTTTTATATCTATTTTACATTACAGATACTAATAAAAAAGTACCAGTCTTGAGGCTTCTATCATCATCTTTAGACAAGACGCTGATTGTCTGGGAACCAGACGCTTCCCCAACTCGAGGGGAGGGGGAGGGCGCGTGGGTGGAACGGATACGAGTGGGAGAAGTGGGCGGGAACGGTCTGGGCTTCTACGGTAGCAGGTTCGGTCCCAACGGAAAATCTTTTATGGGACATGGATATAATGGATCGTTTCACATATGGTCAGTTTGCGAGGTAGAGTACGATTTGGTCTATGGATTAAACTTTTTTTTTTAATAAAGATAATTTTAAAGCTTCGTTACATCTGTCCGTCCCTATGTATGCTTAAATCTTTAAAACTACGCAACGGATTTTTTTGATACATACGAGTGATTCTAGAGCAAGGTATATATATATAAAACATATACACCCAGGTGTATATGTTTTATAGAAAACCGCTTTTCTAGAAACTTTTCGTCACGCACAACCACATTGTGGAATCACCTTCCAGCGATGATTTTCCCGAACCGATACGATATTGAAACCTTCAAGAAAAGAGCTTCTTCCTTTTTAAAAGGCCGACAACGTACTTGCAATTCCCCTGGTGTTGCGGGTGCTCATGGGCGGCGGTAATCACTTACCATCAGGTGAGTCGCAAGCTCGTTTGTCTCCTGTGTTATAGAGAAAAAACACCCGAGCGAAGCCGTGGCGAGTAGCTAGTTATTAATATAAACTACTTAAAACAACATAAGAGCCACAGTAATGAACAGGTTACAAAATGTAGTAAATAAACAAATTACTCGATAAACGTAATTTTTAATAATGACACATTTTTTAAAACAGTTGTTTTTTCTTAATTTTCTTGTTGTTAAATAATAAAACATTGTAGTTTTTTTTCCTAAATGCAATTTTTCTAATAAATTATAAACAATTCAACCATTAATTTTTTTTAATTAAATTTCAAAGAAACCATTTCATCCCTTCGAACGTTTTGATACATATCTGTGCACCCCTCTTAAACCGTATTACCTTATTGTCACAGTCTGTACCCGCAAAACCGTGACTTCTTTTTAACCAATTTAGTCCTTATTTAAAACGAAATAAGATCGAAACGCATTTGAAAAAATGCAGTTGGCGCGCGCACACTGTCTCTTCGCTTTCGGTCGCTTTGACAGAGGACGGACATTCGAAAGGTTAAACACCTCAAATCAAAGTTAATATACAAGGCTATTAATACAGAAATACAACATTATTATTTGACGACCTCGGTGGTCTAGCGGTCTAGCACACTGCTTTACGTCCGATGGTCGCGGGTTCGATTCCTCGCACGGCACAAACATTTGTATTCATGAGTATGATTGTTTGTGTCGGTCTGGGTGTTTTCTATGTATAATATGTATGTATTTACGAAAAAAAAATTATGTATTTGTATCAGTAATCTAATACCCATAACACAAGCTTTAGCTAGCTTAACTTGGGTCTAGATGGCGCTGTGTGAATTGTCCTGAGATTATCATTATTATTATTTTGTTTTCAGTAGTATATTTCCCATGAAGACGATTAACATTCGCATGAATACTTGTGAATGTTACAGGAGACGGGCCAGTGGGAGCCGCAGGTGGTGTGTGGAGGTCACTTCGGGGCGGTGGAGGCGGCGCAGTGGGAGCCCCGCGGGTTACACCTCACGAGTGTGGCTGCTGACCAGACCACGAGGTTGCACGCGCCCTGGCGGCGACCAGACGGTCAGTGCACACCAATCTTTTTTTATTTATTTTATTTCCACACATACAGATATTTTTACAGGTCTTAGCATAATACATCATCATCTGCTTCTTCCTTATCCCATTTTGTGGTCGGCGTAATATATTTTTCTCTTCCATTCATCCCTGTTCGCAGTCATCTCGTTATTTACATCCTTTCCCCACCATTTTACTTAAAATATATACCAGTACTAGCTGATCCTGACAACGTTATTTGAGATAGAAATTAAAATCGCTAATAAAAAATAGGGGTTGGTGTTAGAAAGCTGAAAATTTGGGGTGTGTTTGGTATGTATTTTTAACACCACATTACAAAAAATAATAAAAAAATATCGAAAACAATAAAAAAATATGTTAAGGATTAACCCTTGTCATATAGGGGTATGAAAAATAGATAGTACCCGATTCTCAGAACTACTGAATATGCATATAAAATTTCATAAAAATCGGTCAAGCCGTTTCGAAGGAGTATGGTAACTAACATTGTGGCACATGAATTTTATATATAAGATATGTCAGAATTGAAATTAAAACATTTATTAATGCTCAATAAACATGACTTACCAGATGTTTTAAAATTATTTAAAAGTATATCTTTATTGTAAAATTTTATACCGATTCCAATAAGACCCATTTTTTACACCAGACTTTTTCTAAACGATACTTGGAAATAGAAATAGAAATAGAAATAATCTTTATTCAAATAAACTCATTACAAGCACTTTTGAATAGTCATATTTTGATTCTACCACTCATTCGGAATGCAGATTCATCACAAGAAGAATGAGCAAGAAACTTGTGTGTTGCTCTTTTTAATAGATGTTTTTTTTATATAAATAATTACAGTGTAACAAGTAAGAGGCATGCGACAATCAACATAGAAATCGCTACGCACTCATTATTAGTGTAATCAGATAATATTGTCAGTGCTATGTATTTAAAATTTTTTTACAAAAACATTATTATCGTTAACGAATTCTTCAATTTTATAGTAAGCTTTTTTGCAAAGGAAGTGTTTTATTTGACATTTAAATCTTTTTTCTGGCAGATTTATAACAGACTCTGGTATTTTATTGTAAAACCTTACGCAATTGCCATAAAACGAATAACTAACTTTAGCCAAACGACATTTAGGTAAAATCAGTTTGTTATTGTTACGTAAGCTTTTATTAGTGCAATCACTAACTCTTTTGAAACTGTCTATATTCTTCCTGACATACATGATATTTTCATAAATATATTGAGAAGCAACGGTGAGGATATTTGATTCCTTAAAGCACTCTCGCAAAGACTCCCTGGAACCCATGCTATAAATGGAGCGAATGGCCCTCTTTTGTAAAATAAATATTGTATTTATATCAGCTGCTTTGCCCCTTGGGAAGATCAAGTTTGTCTTTAAATCTAGTACTAATGTTGTTACAGGAGAAGGTACAGAGTGGCATGAAATCAGTCGTCCACAAGTTCACGGCTATGACATGGCGTCACTGGCGATGGTGTCCAGCACAGTCTTCGCATCTGCAGCTGAGGAGAAGGTCATCAGGGTGTTCAGAGCGCCGCACAACTTCCTGCAGAACTTCAAAAATATTGTAGGCGATGTACTCGACGAGGGGAGTGAAGGTAGGAATGATACCCCTGCTATTTCATGCGGCCACAGAATAAGAATAGAATAGAATAGAAAATAATTTATTCAAATAAACTTACATTAAAACACTTTTGAATAGTCAACACTCATTTGGAAATCTATCTGATCACAAGAACAACAAGCAACATCTTGCTGTTGTTAATTTATTGCAAATTAAATATGTCAAAGGTTTTTTAAAGTTTAGTTACACAAATTTCTGAACGCATGTTTGTATGGGAAAGTTTCTTTTTTTTTTCTTTTCTCTTTCCATCTGCCATCAGCTTTATGACTATATCTGATTATAGTCACACAGTATACAATCAGGGGTGCGTTCAAAAATTTTTTTATTATATATTGATATTTTTTATATTGTATGGGAAAATATAATTGTTGTTTTTACTAATTTACATGCAATCTCTTCATATTTTATCACCGTTTAAACCTTCCCTAAGCGTCCACAAACATTTCAAAATGAAAATTAGCTAGATCAGTTCGGCCGTTCTCGAGTTTTAGCGAGACTAACGAGCTAGCGAGCGAAACGAACACCAATAAATTTTTACTAAATACAATATTGTATATATATTAAATATTCTTTATTGCACTTAAATACATTTGTAAGTATATTAATTACAGCTAATGTTAACAAAGGAGGACTTATCTCTAAAAGAGATCTCTTCCAGTCAACCCAATAGAGCGTGACATAGGAAGTGTTTGTTAAAATGTGCAAATTATATTTTTTATGAAAATGTCTAAAATAATTAAAACTAAACATAAAAATATAATGTCCAAAATACAGATACTAATACAATATACATAAAGATAAAAAAAAATAAAATATATATAATATATATGTACTTATTTTATATGTATTTGTTTATATTTTAATTTAATTATATTTATACCTACTTCCTTTTATTATTTTATTTGTGCATTAAAGTTTTAATAAATAAATAAAAATATGTATAGTAACCAGACTCCGTTTAATCAGTCCTCTACATTATAAAGTTGCCTAGATGAAATCGCTATTTAGCGATAAGGCCGCCCATTGTTACCTCTGTATTGTAATTGTTGTTTTTATATTTGGTATACATATATATTTTTATATTTGGTATTTGGTACACATAGTTTATGTAATTGTTATTTTATTTGTGTGAGAGGAATAATAAAGAGATTTTTCATTTCATAATATTCTAGCTGTGAAACCGCGGAGGTTTCATCCGCGTTGAATTTCAATATATTTCCGACCCCTTTAAAGGAATTGCCATCGACACAATTTAAAATACACTTATTTAATTTATTAGTTGACAAATGTTATTACACAATAAATGATTATATAAACAATGTTAACTAATTATTAGAAAACATAATATATAAACGAACTTGACATAATTTTATTATTCCTTCTATAATAATAATAAATGTATAAGATGTAATTTAATTGAATTGTATAAAGAATAATAATAGATTAATTCAAATATGTATTTGCATGTCTGTAAAGACTAAAAGTGAGATCTATATAACATAAATAACCATACCATCTATTATGTACTACTTTTATAACAAATAAATTTTATTTCATTTCATTTCAATATAAAATATAACCTATGTGTTATACTGATGCATTAGCTATAATTGTAAAGTTTCATCAAAATCCGTTCCGTAGTTTTTGCGTGAAAGAGTAACAAACATCCATACTTAGTTTGGCGTTTATAATATTATTAAGATATAAAAAAATTCTAGGTCCGAAAGGGGCTTCTGTGCCGTCACTAGGGCTCTCCAACAAGGCTGTATTCAGTGATGCGGACCAGACCGAAGATGACGGTTACTTCGTCCCTGTGGATCTGAAGGGTAAATATGTTCAAATAATAATAATAAATAAATAATCTCAGGACAATTCACACAGCGCCATCTAGGCCCAAATTAAGCTAGCTAAAGCTTGTGTTATGTGTACTAGACAACTGATACAACTACATAGATATGCTTTTTTTTATAAATACATACATGTTATATAAAATACCCAGATACAAACAATCATACTCATGAATACGAATGTTTGTGCCGTGCGAGGAATCGAACCCGCGACCATCGGAAGTAAGGCGGTGTGCTAAACCGCTAGACCACCGCGACCGTCTAGATAACTTCCAGCTATTTATTTAGATGATTTCTTTTTATAAACACTCATACACTTATATTTAAAAAATCATCTATGAGATATCTAAGGAAGACAGTTAAGGAAAAAGTTGGAGTCGTGTCGTATCAACAGCTAAAAAGACTGATAGAAGATCGTGGAAGGTGGCGGGAGCTCCACCGACAAGAGCACAGCTCTTAAATGAATGAATGAGATATCGTGTCGTGATGAATCAGAAATGATGGTTTGCCAGATGGAAACTGGGTAAATGAACAGACGTACAAACACATTGATATATATGTGCTACCTTCCATGTTTTACCATCCATGAGAACAGTACCGGGTTTTAAGCGTATGGCGAATACACTAACATTCTAGAAACTTTTTGCCACGCACAACCACATTGTGGATTCACCTTCCAGTAATGGTATTTCCGAACCAATACGATATTGAAACCTTCAAGAAAAGAGCTTATTCCTTTTTAAAAGGCCGACAACGTACTTGCAATTCCCCTGGTGTTGCGGGTGCTCATGGGCGGCGGTAATCACTTACCATCAGGTGAGCCGCAAGTTCGTTAGTCCATTTTGTTATATAAAAAAACCGTTGCCTAGTGACCTCGGAATAAGAAAAAATAACAGATTTGTCATTCGGGACCGAATCCTGTTGAAAACTCTCCTATGCATATATATCACACTCTTAATACTACAATATTCTATTCGGGCTGGAAACCTGACCAGCGCTACGAAATTCTCCAGTGGTGATCAAATTCCGACCGTTATTGAGTCTACACCCATATCGCGACACGTGTTTCGCCTCTGAACGAGGCATCATCAGGCGTTAATTAGAGTTCGGGTACAGCTCGGAAGCCTAGTGTTGACTCATCGGCGACCAAATAGCGACTCGCTGTTCGGATCTGTCGGAATTTGATCACCACTGGAGAAGGTCGTAGCGCTGGTCAGGTTTCCACACCGAATATTCGTGGTCTCACACATGTTAATTGTAGCGGAATTAAACAAAATTATATAAATCCATCGAGTAGTGGAATAGACTTCCACAAAATAACACTTAATTCGATTAAATATATACAATATAATTATATACGCAGCCACAATATGAGTCAGGTTCATACTCTTCAGAGAATCTCTTCACCTCCCTCTGCGGCCCCAGCCCCCATGCTGGGGGAGTGTAAGAGGTGAAGAGCCCCCATCATAGCCGTAAACAGCCAATACGCGGCTTGTAGCAATTTTTCCAGACAATAGCTTGATTCGGTTCTTAAGGTTGGATTAAAATTTCTAAAAGATCTTGGCCAGACTATAGTAAGTTCTATACTAGAATATGTATCTAAAGCTGCACTATCAGGATCTTACCAGATTTAGCTGGGCAGGGAGAGAAACAAGCGGTGAAAGTGACGTCACGTCACGTCAACTAACGTATTTACATATTTCTATCAGTTCTCTAGTACCAATAACACAATCTCTTCTTACCTTGTGACCAGATGACGAGGTTATTTAATTTTAAGGTTAAATTGATAATGAAATTTGTTTCCAGCTCCCCCGACGGAGGAGACGCTGCAGCAGCACACGCTGTGGCCAGAAACCCACAAGTTGTACGGACACGGGTACGAGGTGTACTGTCTCGCAGCTTCCACTGCTACGGCCACCACGCCGGCCGTGCTGGCATCTGCTTGCCGAGCCACCACCGCCGAGCACGCTGCCGTCCTCATATGGTACGTTAAATTAATTAAGAAAGGAGCCAGTCAGTAGCGGCTTTTACACGATACGTTTTTGCGCGCAATCAGGAGCGTGCGTGATTTAGCGCGGGAAAATAAATAGACAGACGGACAGACAATAATGTTCAAAATATTTTTTTAATATAAATATCATATTGAGGCGCTGCCTTTTTTGCGTATGGGCGATGCACACACTACGTTACTCACACGTTTGTACCTGTATTGTATTTTATTAACTGACTAATGTAATTGAATATCTACATTTTTATATTATTGTGCCTTTAACGCAATAAAAGTTTTGTCTATCGTTATATTTTATCATTATGAGATACCCCACTATAGTCATATTTTTAATTAGACGAAGTCAACTGACGTTTACTGTGTTGTCAGTATTTGATGAAATAAAAATAGTGTTGTGACAAAGTGAATCATTTCTGAATTAATGGAATTGCCTCGATTGTCTAGTGAATAGTTAGTGTGCCGAACTGCCGATATCGGGTACGGGGTTTGAATTTTAGCCGTGCTTTATACATACCAACGAGTTTACGACGATTATGTTCCTATTGTATCTACCTATACTGAATACCGAGTATTTTAAACGTAAAGAAAAAATTGCGTGGAAACTTTTAAGACTGTCCTAATTACAATTCATAATGTAATTGAAACTATAGATGTACAAAATATAACAATATATAACATAATATAGTTAGGTAATAAAAATAAAAAACTGCGCTTATTACAAAATTTGTTTTTATTCATCATCAGATAAAAAAATCATTGTCGCTTTCAGTGACATTAATTATAAATCTGTCTAAAAATTGATAATAATTTATCTTTGAAACAGTGTTTCGCTCCACGTTTCTCCGGAGACTTAAATTGTTCACTTTGTATTATTTTAATACATTGTAGACTGAGGTCACACCAATTCCCAAAATGTCAGCTGTTTTCGAAATACATTTGTTTTTTTGGGAGCCTCAATAGGTAATAGTGAAGCAGCTTTCTCAAATACGTATTTGTAGACGTTTTGTATCATAAGTTTTTCGGTAACGTCTTTCTTGGAGACAAGCTTTGGCTTGACGTGCTTTGTTGAGGATCCATATTGTTTGTATGAAACAATATAGTAAATATACAATATACCCAACAATTACCACAAACACAACATGAGGAAAAACTTAATAAAACAGCGTGAGCGCAAAAAAAAACATTGGTGCTCTCAGACCAGAGGTTAGAAGCCGAATTACGAACAAAATGGCGACAGACGCTCGCGACGTTGATTTGTGTTGGCACTAGTAGCCGCGCGCTTTGTAATAAGCCGTCAAAAAACTGATTGTAGTTACTAGTAACTTATATCAGAGCACTTTTATACAATTTTCTTTTGTAGTTTGTAATGATTAACTATTCACACTCATTGTTCATTCATCTAACTGAGAACTGAACGCATCACTATTACTTTAAATATGGCAACATTATTTTACAATGTGACATTAGCTACTGTCAGCTAGCTTCGTCTAATTAAAAATACGACTATAGAGGTCAATTGTGTGCCATTTCATAAAAATGAATGTCACCGACAGAGGCGTCCAGTTTCAAATTAGCCACGAGACTATAAAATAACAAGTTCTAGATAGAGCTGTGTTTATGTCGTAGTACTTTTGTTGGATCGGGTGCGTCGTTGTCACCCTATCTGCGCGTGCAATCGTGAAGGATTGTACTTAACTATTTTTGTTTAAGCTTTCGCTCGTGATAGCGAATATGTCGTTTCACTGTCTTCAAATTTTAGATTTTATTTTTCAGTTATCAGTCTTTCGTTGGCGCAAGTTGGCGTGTATGTGACGTGTTTTAATTTTTTTTATTTTATTTTCCAGAAACACGTTTACAATTTGTAAATTATTAATAATTATAATTATGTTTCTTCTGCATAGTCAGATATCCGCCATTTTTCATTGATAATTAATTATTTTATAAAAACTCTAAAAGAAACAGTCATTCTTCTTCACTTTTTCTACATTTACATGTAATGTAAGCTTAGAATGTACATTCTAATCTTTATTTTAACTATAAACATAACCAACAGGGAGACAACCAATTGGCAGCAGATACAGAAGCTAGTCTCCCACCAACTCACAGTCACCCAACTGGAGTTCTCACCCGACGGTCTCAAACTGGTGTCAGTATCCCGCGACCGCCGATGGACCTTATACCAGAGGCAGGAGGGTTCAACTTGGTTTGAGACGGTCGCGACCACAGACAAGAGCAATGGCGTCCACGCGAGGATCATATGGTGCTGCGCGTGGGCACACGACGGTTATGCTTTCGCAACAGGCTCCAGGGACGGGAAGGTGAGAAATATTTATGATCATCTGCTTCTTCCTTGTCCTATTTATTTGGGGCACCGTAATATGTTTTTCCCTTCCATTCATCCCTGTTTCAAGTCATCTCGTTATTTACTGCCTTTCTTTCCATATCATCTTTCACACAGTCCATCCATCTCTTTTTCGGCCTTCCTCTGCCCTTATTAACAATCCACATGCATATGTAACACCTTCCTTAAAATATTATCTTCATTCCTATGCATTACATGTTCATAATGTAGGAAATATTTTGTGATAGTTTTTACATTTTCACGCAAAAACTGCTGAACGGATTTTCATGGAACTTAATAGTAATATACCTTATACGTCAGAATAACACTTAGGCTACAAATTTAAAAGATATTATGTAAATTGGGCGAAATATTAACATAGTATAAAACAAAGTGTCCACTGTCTGTTCGTTTATATCTTTTAAATTACGTAACGGATTTTAATTCAGTTTTCAGCAATAGATAAATTCGAAGGAAATGTTTATATGTGTAATATAATAGTTTTATAGAACTGTTTATTACTGTTTATATATTTGTTACTCTTTCACGCAAAAACTACTGAACTGATTTTATGAAACTTTACAGTAATATAGCGTATACATCAGAATAACTCATAGGCTAATATATCGCGGTAGTTAGTATAAGAATATCAAGTGTGACGCAGACGTATTTGCTCGTATCAGCTATTTTTTATATTTGTTTAATATGTCTCTTCTACTTTATCCATAGGTGTGCGTATGGTCAAAGTCCGAATCTCAAGCCAGTGTACAGACATCTCTCGGACAGTACGCGCTTCTTGGGAAGCCTCTAGAGCTGGCCAACACCTCGGTCACCGCTCTGGCCTTCGCCCCATTGCTGGTCGGGGATGCCAGAGTGGTAGCTACCGGGTTCGAGTCCGGCGTCGTGAGGATATACAGTTTTCTAATCGACGGATGGAGTTTATTGTACGAATTAGATAATGGGTGAGTAAATGACGTATACCATGCGCTGTAGCATGGTGCAGGTGACAGTTTCATTAATTCTTAAAAGTTGGGCGATTTACAAATTATGACTTAGTATTTCAGCTGTACTACACTCGTAATATATTAATAACTGTATTAACTTAAATGTAGCAATTGTTAAATGTTAAATTAGTAACTGCCACCTGCACCATGCTACCACAGAGTATAATTGTTTACTAAAACAGTAGTTGTTGGTATTAATTCATTGTTTTAACGGTAGATGGCACTATAACAGAGTCTACAACGCGGTATATTTTAGAATAGAATAGAATAGAATAGAAAATCATTTATTCAAATAAACTTACATTGAAGCACTTTTGAATAGTCATTATTTTTTAATCTACCGCTCGTTCGGAAAGCTGTCTCATCACAAGTTCTTCTTGTTCGAGCAAGAAACTTGCGTGTTGCTCTTTTAAATAATTTTATTATTACTTTACATTTTTAAGTTTAAGTGTGTGAATACAAACCACCAATTAGCACTAATTCAATTAAATACTCAAATAGAAAAAATATTGAATATATAATATATTGAAAAAATTTTCTAATTAGATGTTAATTATGTTTTCGATTTCAGCTTCGATTTTAAAATAATTTTATTAAACAACTCCAGTGAAGCTGTAAGTTATTGCGACCAACAGCATTTAACAGCATAATAACCCTGGACAATTGACACAGACTCATCTAGTCCCAAGCTAAGCAGATGTTGTGTTATGCATACTAGACAACTGAGATAAATACATGAATACATATCATTACATAGTATAAAACAAAGTCGCTGTCGCTGTCTGTCCGTCCCTATGTATGCTTAAATCTTTAAAACTATGCAACGGATTTAGATTTTTTTTTAATAAATAGTGTTATTCAAGAGGAAGGTTGATATATATAATACACGTACACACCCGGATGAAGCCGGGGCGAGTAAGTAGTTTAATATAAATAGAAAACACCCATACAATACTGTTTGTATTGTATCATATCCGTGATTACAAATGTTTGCATCCTGCGAGGAATTGAACCCGCAACCTTCGAAAGTAAAACGGTGTACTAAACCGCTAGACCGCCGAGGTCGTCAAATAATAAAAACGTACATATATTTTGTTGGCTATTACATATATTAATATTAAATTATTATTTACAGTGCTGCTCATCATCTCACAGTGAAGCAGTTGTCATTCCGGCCAAAACACGAGGAAAGTAGCGGCGACCGGCTACTGTTGGCCAGCTGTGGCAGTGACTACCTCGTCCGTATTCACAGCGTTGCAATATCGTGATAATAAACGTATTTATTAATTTCATTTTTGTTTTCAATACTGCTCCATTTTGTCCCAAACTAAACTGAGCCTGTCTTATGAGTTCCACCTCCGCTTTACTTCCGATGGTCGCGGATTCGATTCCTCGCACGGCACAAACATTTGTATTCATGAGTATGATTGTGTGTATCGGTCTGGGTGTTTTCTATGTATAATATGTATTTACAAAAACAATATATCTATGCATTTGTATCAGTTGTCTAGTACCCATAACACAAGCTTTAACTAGCTTAACTTGGATCTGGATGGCGCTGTGTGAATTGTACTGAGATTATTATTATTATGAGTATCATATAATTGATTAGAACTTATTTATATTTAATAAACGACGGCCCTTCCCAATTTCGCATGAATGTTAAACAAATATTGATACTGAGGTGGGTCCCCGGGCACTCACACATCGAAAGCAATGAAAATTTCGGCCATCTGTCAAAGTTAGGTGCAAAGACCGCCCAACTGGACCCCGAATCCTTCTGTGGCGTACCTCGTTGCCTAAAACTGGGACATCTCAAATTATTGGCCTATGAACAACAAAGATCTGCAGATTTTGCCAAACTGAAGAGGAAACGCCACTACACATCCTATGTGGTTGTAGCCCACTCATGCATAAACGAAAGTTTACACTCTTTCCCGAGGAGATAAAAACCATCGCTTCCTTCAATTCTTGTCCCTGACGGATATCGAACTCTGAAAAAGGCGAGCACAATAGGTCGCAGTAGGGGGAAAGTAGATTGTTAGTAATGTGGACTAATGGTCATGTTCCACCTGGTGCGGTTCCACCTGGAAACTATTGTGATAATTTCCTGGTGAATTTATCACAATGGGCTAACTGACCTGACTTTATGCTCATCTTATCATCCTCCACTGGTGCCCCGCCAGCGTAAACCGTTAGCGCAGTGGGAAAGGGAATTGTTAGTAATAGGGTCTAGTGTCTCTATTGGTCTCTATTGCTAGCAATGTACTATGTTAGGTCGACCTCCACGCGGTTCCCCCTTGGAACCATGTGGTTAAATTCTGGTTATTCATGATTTAAATCACGATGGGCAAACTGACTTGCTCATCTTCAATTTTACAATAAGCTTTTTTTTTTACAAAGAAAATATTTTATGATACATTTGAATTATTTTCTGGCAAATTGAGTACAGACTCTGGGAGTTTGTTGTAAAACCTTACGCAATTTCCATAAAACGAATTACTAACTTTCGTCAAACGAACGTGAGTTTAGTAAGCTTACTATTCACTTTATACTTAGTCGATGGTATTCGTTGCCATTTCGGCCATCCAACGTTATCGAAGGGCCTCATTCGATATTATCATAACCGTTAACATCGGGTAATATAATAAAATTAAAATCATATAAAATTTAGTTCGAGATAATTTACATACTTAAAATATGAAAGTTGCCACTGACAACTACACATTACATTTCAACATCATGAGTTCAGTCTTTGTTATATTTTTCCGCCTTAAGTTGTATCACTTCATTTTTCACACCAGGTATTAGTCAGCATCTCTGCAAACACGGCTGCCTAGCTAATTAGTGAAATACATGTTAGAACCAAACACCCACTAAGAGCTACGGTCTCAATAGATCTGGATTTTATTAGACTCAGCCACCGCTTGCCCGCACAAGGAGCTACGGCCTCCAACTGAAACACTTCAAATATTTAACAACTGGCCATTTTCTCAATGAGGCATTCACCGCTTGCGCACACAAGGAGTCACGGCCTCCAACTAGTCATATTCTTTATGGTACTTGGATATTTCTATTTTTACATATATTTTTATATAGACATATATTTTTTATTATATTGTTTTTCTACATTGTTTACCACTAAATACATCAGCAATAGTACTAGATATCTATTTTTAAGCCTGTTCTCTCAACTATGGGGTTATATGCGCTCCCATCAAATTTTACTATTACTTTTTATTCTATTAATTTTTTTTAAGAACTAGATTAAGTGGTTCCATTTTACTATTTGAATGAATTTCAAGAGAAGCATCAAAGAAGTGAACCAAGTGCTCAAACATATAATACATTCAATATGAGACACCTTCGAGGAATTGGATATCAATCTCTAGGTGCTTTTTCCACACATTAATAATCAATATCATATGATTATGATAACCTTGAGGATCCTAATAGATCTCAATTGGATTTCATACTAATTAATAATTGAATAAGGAACAACAGTGCAACCTTAATATAACGTACCACAATATAACGACTTCCTCGATTTAACAAATTCTTCGTAATCCCCTTGAATTGTCCATAAGAGTCAATATAAAATATACATTTATATAAAATATACATACCTTTACATTGCGAACAAACTCTTTATAACGAATTTTCAACTGTCAAGAAAAAGTATTCATACCTCTAATTAACGAATATTGTCAACCCAAAACCTTTATATAAAGTTCCCACCAATAATATAACTATTAATCTTATCTTTATCTTTAATCTTATAATGTGATTCATGTCTCGACATGTTTCGACACGCTTTTGTTCGTAAACATTGTTGTTTGATGGAAAGTAATGTAAAGACTTCTGCTCGTCACTATTGTTAAAGATTTAAGTTAAAATGGCTCAGAAACATAAAAGGTGTTCCTTATCGGTCGCAGAAAAGCGAAACATCATTAATTATGTTGACCAAAATCTACCTATGACGAAAAAATTAGACATAGCTAATAAGTTCGGGATTCCCGCAAGTATATTGGCTACAATTTTAAAATTTAAAGATAAGTTTTCAGAAGAAAGTTGTTTGAATGTAAACAGTAAAAGATTAAAATCATGCACTATTCTTTTACCTCTTTATTTATACGAATTTTAGACCAACCTAACTTCAACATAACAAACCTCAGTTCAACGAATTACTTGATATTACAAATATTAATATTACGAATATAATTAATATACGACACCGCTACGATAAGACATTCGTAAACATTTGTCAGTGAACATTAGTATAGTGCGACTAATTTTGATAATTTAAGCAATATTTAATTAATTTTGCTAATACATACATATTTCTACGAATATTAATTTAAAGTTGTTATATATATAATATTTATTTTAGCACGCCAAGACAAAAGTACAGTTATGCTACAAATAAAACCTACCTACTCCGCTGCACTATGAATAGCACAAGAGCGTGGTATTTCGTCACACTAATGGCAATTAATTGTTAAAATTAAAAAAGAGAACGTAGTAGTATTTTTAAAAATAACGCTTATCTGAGAGAAAAATGTAAGAAACGAATTTTACTTTATGTTTATTTTGTAGTTTTTTCTAAATTAAAATATATTGTTTATAAAAATACCATTATTATTTTTACGTACATTTGTCTTGTGTTATATTATCTAGTATGCAATGTGGATTGTAAATAAATTACCAAATTATATATAAATTATATTCCCTAATGTTTAGAGATATTTTATCCAATTTACTTTATTTTATTTTACACAATACAGATATTTCTAAATTGCAGCCATTGTGTTATTAAACTGGTTGGACTTTCATTACTGTACAGTTATGTCAAATAATTATATGTGTTTGGGTGAAAAGTCAACAACTTTATAAATGTTTTTATTTAGAGACTAGCTTGCAGCTCGCGGCTTCGCCCGCGTGAACATGGGATATATAGGTTATCGCGCGTTTAAAGATCCGTGTACAGTATTGGGACGTTATATATAAACCTTCCTCTTGAGTCTATCTATTATGTCTGTTAAATAACAACGAATCAAAATCTGCGTAGTTTTTTAAGATCAAAACGTACATAGATCTATTACATGTGTAGAAGATATTTTAACCGGAAATTGAAGCCGTTAAAATGGTATTGGCAGATCAGTTGGAATCATCGGTATTCTTGGTATATGAGCTGGTTACCCAGGTAACGTACCGGTTATAATGGTCTACAATTAAATTGTCTTTCAATTCTTTAGTAAGCAATATATACAGAGAGAGACAGATGGCGCTGTCATCTTGTAAACATTAGGCTCTGCATATTTTAAAGTTTATAAATATTATCTCTGATTATTTGCAAGTAATTTCTTCAAATATACAATTAATATTATCCAAATATCATGTGACAGTGTTATCCCCAACAATAGTGCATAATTGAAAGTTTAATTTGAAGTGAAATAAGTGATTTCAAGACTAAAAAAAATATCAATCTGACGTTGCTAAATACAGTGCAAATTATACTTTCTGATACCAGTGGTATATATTCTAACAAAAATACGACTATTACAAAAAATATCAGCAAAAGTCAGTGTTAAAAATGTTATTGTTTAAAATCAGAAAAAGTGCGGTTGTTGTATAATTTCGTTATTCAAATGAAGATGTTGTAACGAACACGTTTATAATATCCACTATTTCACCATAAACTCACAAGCAGCTGTTGGAGCAGTTGTACATAGTTTGGAATAATCACCTATGCTTTGACATTTTTTGTACGACTACGAAAAATATTACTATTTAAACATTACTTAGTAATAAATTCACAATCTAATTAGATGCCATCTAATTCAAAATAGAAATATATAAATCCTAGTGAATTAAAATCCAAAATAACTAGTGCCGATAAAGAAATTGAACATTAATATATCGGAGAATCACTGTTTAAAATCAAAAAATTGCTTCATCCTTATCCCATTTATTTTGAAAATCAAGTCAGGAAACATATCATCTTTCAACATTAATTTTAAATACCTTAAAATATTATGTTGTACAAAGCATTAATATAACACAAAAAATTTTGAATAAACATGACTTGCGTTTAATAGAACCAAAATATCAAGAAAATAACAATTTGTCTTCTGTACAAAATATGTGTTACGATAATGAAAACACTATAAGTCTTTCTGAATTAGTACTACATGCTTCATAACAAAACGCGGCAAGCATAAAGAACAAGGTGAAGACATATCCAAATTATCAAATTTTGAATAACGATATACAAAAGAAATAAAAAAATATATCCATTAAAATCCAAAATAACTACGATAAAGAAATTGAACACCAGAAATAAAAGAAAAAATGACCCTTGAAAATAAGAGGAAACATTACAAATATAATTACGAATCGTTTAATAGAAAAGATATCATATTGACAATTCAATCCAAGAACAAGGTGAAGATTCGACACAAATTTTGAATAACGAAACAAAAGAAATAAATATATCCAAATACATCACAACTTATTAAATCTCGAAATCACAGCCCATATGAGAAGTACTCCATAATTGGATTAACTAAACCATATGCACCAACTGAAGAGGTCTGGAATGGGTGCGAGAGTATTATATTAAATCAAGATGACAAACTGATTATAAATATTGGCGAAAATGACTCAAATCCTATTAAAATAATGTCTAACCTATGTACGATATTACAGAAACATAAAAATAATAATATACTTCTATTAAGTGTTATTCAAAACAATTCCTTGAATGAAAGTAAATTAAATAAACAAATACGCCTTATTTTAAAAAATACACTAATTGCCATTTTATAAATGTACAAAATCTATCTATTTCTAAAATATGTAAACGTATAAACTTTATAATTGACACAATTGACTACGAAAATAGATTTTTATACTTTAATAAAAAAACCGATACCAATATCAAACGGTTACTTAAAAAGGCATACTGATAACAACACAAAGTACAAATTAAAAAAAGTAAACAACAAAAAACCTTACTTGATTATTTCCCTGTCACTAATAATTTCAACAGTTCAAAATGACGTTAATAAAAGTTTTAATATATTTCATGAAACGTTAGTTCTATCACAGATAACATAATATTACATAGTTCTATTCTCCAATCTTTGTTTCCCCACTTATAGCATAAAAGTGAGAAAGAAAAAATCCTGCACGAACTGGATAACAACAGGAATAAGAAAAGCCTGTATCAATAAGCGATATTTACGCTTCTCTTATTATAAATCACGGAATGTAACAAATAAAATAAAATATCGAAACTATACTCGTATTTTAAATCGCTGCATAAATACTGCATTACGCTTGAGCAACGAAAAATACGTTCTAAAGTCATAAAATAAATGTAGATCTTCATGGGATATAATAAAACGTAATATGTAAACAAATAAACCTAAACCAAGTATTGACAAACTTATAGAAAATAAACGATATATTACTAATCCCCTTGAAATTGCAAATAAGTTCAATGAATATTTTATTAATATGACTAATAATAAACAATAAATTTAATAACAAAAGCAAAGGACAATATAATATGACACTAAATAATAATAATAATAGTATATTTTTATTTCCCGTTGACGCTTATGAAATCAATAAAATTATACATTCTTTAAATAATACACATCTGTAGGATACGATGGCTTACCGACAAAGTTAATAAAAATAACTGCTATAATATTGGCTCCAATACTCAGTTATATTAATTAATAACTCATTTATTCAAGGAACATTTCCTGAAATCCTAAAAGTATCAGTAGTTAAGCCAATATATAAAAAAGGAGATAAATTAGTTATAGAGAGTTATAGAGAACTACATGGTGATTTCATTATCAATGAAATCACCATAATCAATGAGGCGTCTTGTAATAATTTATAAAAAAAAAATATATTAGCTCGTAATTATTTATCAAGAATCAAGAATCGGCCAACCAAGAACGTGAAGCTGCAATATCAGCCAATATCTTGCGGCGACGTCAATGATGCAGGAACAGTAATGATAGCAGTTGAAGCTCTTTTTATACAACTTAGAATGACAAACAAGCTGACGGCTCTCCTGATGGAAAGGGGTAACCGTCGCCTATAGACATGAGCAGTACCTGACATGTTCATATCCGCATATTGTTTCCCCCATGATCTCCCCATGCGTTGCCATTCCTGAGAACTCGGGTGTTATTCCCCTGTACCCTGTAAATTCACTGCCATATATATACACAGATAGTCTATATAGATAGATAGTATACCCTGAGAAAGGTCATAGACTACTTTATAGTGCGAAAAAAGTTGTTTTAAGAAAAGGTTAAAATCGTACTATTTATCGACCTTAGTATGATTCGTTTCATCATGTATTTTATTATTTGTATTTTGTGTAATATATGTAGATGTCTATAGTAATTGTATATATATATATATATATATATAAATTTTATTAATGTTTATTTTATTTATTATTGTATATTTTATTATAATTATAATATAATTATAACTTTATTTAATATGTTGAATTTTAAATATTTTATTTTTCTCAACTTTTGGAGATTTCAACATAATAGTTTTAATTGCACAGGTTACCTACTCACTACTAGCTATGCCACATTGTTGGGTTGACTGGTAGAGATCTCTCTTAGAGATAAGTCCACCTTTGCTCACTCTGTATATGTTTAAGTTTACAACTGTATTTAAAAGTGCAATAAAGAATATATAAAAAGGGTTGTAGGGGATTGAAAGCGGAGATGAAAGGTTGTATAAAAGTATCGTCATTGTTTAAGTGAAACAATGAAACTTTTTTGGGTTATAATCAAAATATATTTCCTTTATTTGGTCAATTTCATTATACCACGCTGACGAAGTCGCGGACACACCTAATATACATATAAGGATGGGACCTTTAAATCGAAACAAAGCCATGAAAACAACTATTATATATAAATAAAATATTATTTGCCTAAGTTTAATATTTAGAACAAGTGAATATGGCAATAATGTATCCGACTCTTATAATAAATTATATTGTACTTATTAATAAATAAATTGAATTAATATATAAGAGGAATTAATTAGTAAATTTATGTTATAGTAATTTCATCTTCCTGTCCTTATCCCAATTATTTGATACTCATATTACTTAAGGTTTTGGCTTTTAGTTGTACAATCGTCCAGCATCCTGACATCAACCCTCTAGGAATAATATATTAAAAAAATATGGTCATTATTAGCACTTTGATAAATAATATAAATCACGTTATTTAAAAAAATCCAATAAGTACGTTAGTTACTCAGTTAAGTAAAAACATATCACATTATTAATTAAAATATTACAAGGATCAAAATGGTTCATACTAAATCCACACCGATTGCGCTACACGTTTATTTGCGTCTGTGTGCGTGTATTACTGTATGTGTGCGTAAATCCATGCGATTAAACTTAAAGTTGAGCGGCATCATTTTGTCATAGGCCTCATAACTACACGAACGAGAAACTACAGCAGCAGTTGCAATTCGAATTCAATTCAAGCTTGAAGAGGACGAATATATAAAGGTATGTAGTTATTTCTGCTTTTTATGTAATTAGTATGACGACCTCGGCTGTCTAGCGGTCTAGCGGTCTAGCACACCGCTTTACGTCCGATGGTCGCGGGTTTGATTCCTCGCACGGCACAAACATTTATATTCATAAGTATGATTGTTTGTATCGGTCCGGGTGTTTTCTATGTATAATATGTATGTATTTACGAAAAAAAATCTATGTATTTGTATCAGTTGTCTAGTACTAATAACACAAGCTTTAGCTAGCTTAACTTGGGTCTAGATGGCGCTGTGTGAATTGTCCTGAGATCATTGTTGTTATTATTGATTTGAGTAGTCGTGCTCACTAAAATGTCCAGACATGTGACGGCGTGATGGGCCGAGTTTTTTTTTTGTGGATGATAATGGAATGGTGAACCCGCCTGCGCTAACGATTTACGCTGGCGGGGCACCAGTGGAGGATGATAAGATGAGCATGAGGTCAGGTCAGTTAGCCCATCGTGACAAATTCACCAGGAATTCAACACGATGGTTTCCAGAGGGAACCGCGTGGAGGTCGACCTGACATGGTACATTTCTAGCAATGGGGTTATCAATCCACATTACTACCAATCCCCATCCCCCTTGATGGGCCGAGTTATTGGGTTCACTAAAATAAGGTCGAGCGCAGTGGTGGCTAGCTCATACGTTATACTCGTGAACGAGTGCTGCTTGTAGGGACTGGTCTGCTCTAATCACTACTGGAATATAACCACCATCAAGACATATACCTGGAATATGCCTGTGATTGTCATTTATCTGAAATGGGATCATCAAACATATATGTGTACCTATGATTTTTTTTATATAGCATATGCTGGTGGTCACTCTATTCTCCCAAATTTGAATTTAAATGAAATAGTATTATTGTAAATATGTACAACATTAAAAAAAAAATACGAGCTGAGTTTCTTCTCAGTTCTTCTCATCTCGAAATCATTCCGAACTGACGGTAGATTTGACATATCATAAGAGTCTGTAATAGACCTACATGAATAAAGATATTTTTAATTTGAATTTGAATTTTGAATATTTAAAGGAATAATAACAATTCTTCAATTCAATTCACGTAGAACAAACACACAAAACTGAACAGGAAGTTTGACTAATTTACTGTGAATTAGCAACAAACTCGGCAATACCATTACACTGTTTATATGTATGTGTTCTCATGTTCAACATGTATGTCAACATAGTTAATGTAACTGTTTCGAATCTGTTGATATCATCATAGGCATTAATAACATAACAATAGTTACTCTGTATTTTAAACTAATTAGATATCCATGTTGTTTTATACTCAATGTATTCATAATACTTCTTTCTTAGGTATATTGTATACCTCAATATCGTGCTACATGTCATGTCATTACTCTCGCAAGTTATCGTACATACTAAATCTATTTAATATGTAGAAAGCAATTCATCCAAAAGTTCAATAAAACAAGTGAGATACTGCGTTTAATGGTATGCGTGTTATTAACGTAAATTGACTTACCACAACTTCTAGTCAGAATTACCTTACGGTCGAATTTGTAGGCGGGATTGGTACCGCTTCTGATCTTTTAAAATCACTAGTGACGACTTAGGCCTACAATATTCACACACACAATACCTATTGTTTTTATAATAATATAAACACTTTCGCTCCAAAACTCCCGCTGCCTACGTTCAATCATCCGTCATCCCCTTGTCAATGTCAGATTACTTTGTTTCTGGCCTCTGACGTTCCGTTTCAGATTACTTGATTATTGACTATACCATTTTTAATTAATGGTGCTTCAAACGTAGTAGTTAACAATCAACAATCATCAATCACGTCATAGTTAACAATTAAAACTTAATTTGACTATCACTGTGATAATTGGTGCATTGTTGGTGCGAATCTAGACAACATTCTATATCTTATTTTTAACCCTCACAGGTTTGTCAGAGCTATGGCTTCATCATCACGTGCATCAGCTGCTTTGTCTCTACCAGACATAATCGAAAATTTCTTGTCAGACCTAGAGGTTAAGGGTGTAATCTCAGAAACTGATTTGAAGGAGATTATTAACGTCCAAGATGATTGGGTGAAACTAGTCAGCACAGCCTTGGAATACCAAGGATTTAATCCCAGAGTGATTATGAGCCAGCTGATTAGGAATAGGAAGAGCTATGAAGCTCAGAAGAACTCCCTTATTCAATGGGATTTGGCAAATGATAGAGATAATTTAAAGTGGACACCAGCATCAGAAGAGAAGAACAGATTCTCTAATCAGGAGAGTTTTTCCAAAGATATTAATTTCTTGATAAGAATGTTCCTTGCCACGAATAATCATATTGGCAAGATCATAAAGAAAGCCAGAGGAGGAGTGGATGACATACTAAACATGCTAAAGGAGAAGTATGTTATAGATGATAATATTCACAAGAGTGGAACTTCTCAGAAATCTAGGATCACACTCCCTAGGATTGTAAAAGTCTTCCCTGGTACAGCAGTCAGGATGTTCCATGAGAAGTCAGTGAAGGAAATAGTGGCATATGAGATATTTCCTGGATCACTCAAACCCGACACTCATGCCATCTGCTGCCCTTTATTGCCATCTGTGTGTCCTAATTCATTAGTGGAAGAAAAAGGGAATAATTTCCATCCTGTGATGATATGGACTGCTATCAAATTAGATGACATCATACACAGGAAAGACAAAGTAGTCACCCCTCTTATTAAACTTCTCATATATTACCGTGCTAGGTACCAATCTACTGCAGTTCCAGAGAAAGCTAGAATCGCTATATTTAAACTTTTTGGACTAATTACTATCAAGAGGGTATCTAAAGTTGCAGAGGACATCATGCTAACGGAGAATGCGAAGGCTTTGGTTTCCTCATGCCATTCAACATTAGGTCAAATGAGAACTGATGATAAGAACCATGACTTGATGATGAAGGTTGCCAAGACAGGAGACATGACTTTATTTTAGCATCTTTCTTTTAGTTTAGTGATTTTTGTTTTTGAATTTTCCTTGGATTGATTAGATTTAATCATTTTTTAGTATATGACCTAAAATAATTCTTCCTTTTATAATTCTTTTAATAATTCTTTTTTTATCTACTAGTTCTATCATAAATCATGATTGTTATTAAATCAATTTAAGAATTTAGTTTGTAGTTTTTATTATCTTTTTCATTTAGGTTAAGAACACAAAAAAAAAAACATGTGCTGTTTTGTATTTGCTGTTCGTTTGTTTGAGGCGATGTATTTCCCTGCGTGGGTGATGGTTGATAGTGGCTCAATAATACGTCTCCTAATTGATGTTTTTTTATTTATTGAAGTTTACAATTGAATAGTGTTTAAATTTATAATATTTATAAGCGAGCTGTATGCACGTTGATGAACGGACGGAGAAAGAGAGAGAGTTGCCAGCTAATAAATTTAATGTTGCTACAAATAAAATAAATATAGTGTTTCCAACTGGAATATTACAAATTAACATTTTAAGAGAAAGTGAAATTATATGTGAAAGAAAATGAATGGACGGTAGGAAATAAATATTAATACAAAAATCTTTATGTTCATAAGCGGCTAAAATGTCCTACATGTATAAAATATTTTTGATTTGATCTGAATCAGAAATCAAAACGTGAATAGAAAAATTTATATACACAAAAAATCATGAACGCGCCTGCTTTCCCACGCTATATCGAGCGTTAAAGAACATTTTGTGTAAATGCAGCTATTGTGTTTATTTGAAACAAGAACAAAATTTCACTTGTGTACAATTTCTTATTGCGATTGACAATCCAATCGCCAATAATTGAAAGTCCTATAATTAGGTCTCTAATGTTATATGTTTGAAAATATTAATATAAAATCAGTTTTATGATAATCCAGCACAGTTCAGTATTATACTTCATAATTATTAACTAATTTATTATATTAATTTCATATCAGTATACACAACATGAACTCAATACCAATACAAGCAGAATAGCAGACATTTCAAGTGGAAAATGATCATTTTGTAAATTAACCGTCACAAACCATCTAGCTTCAAACTAAACAGAGCTCGTACTGGGTCCTAGGGGCAATCATAAATTAGATCACAAGAATATCATAGTTTTTGACCCCTTCCCCCATCCTTGTCACATAGCAAGTCATATTTGTGACACTCCCTAGTCACAAATGTGACTTGCTATGTGACAAGGATGGGAGATGGGTCTAATATGATGTATGATGACGTCACATATTTACTTTTCAAATTGAGTATAACTGATAAACAAAGTAATTTAAACCTTATGTTTATAAGGTTGAAGCTGGATTTTTATTATAGTAAGTCACATTTATGACTAAAGAGTGTCACAAATGTGACTTGCTGTACCAAGGATGGGAGAGGGGTCAAATATGACATACGACATCACATATTTCCTTCTTAAATTGAGTATAAACAGGAAACAAAGCAATTTAAACCTTATCTTTATACAGAAGGAGCTGGATTTTTATGCTTACCTTTAAATTATTATATGTTACACTACCTACATTTTGAAATGTTACGAAATGAAAGCCCGTTCCGTACCTTGTAACAAAATTTTATAATTTATCAACCCCCTCCCCCTAAACGTATACCGAAATTTATAGATGGCCCCTAGATAACAGACAGACATACATAAAAACTTTTTTTCATTAGACCGCTAGACGTTATTGTCATAAAACATAAAATACCCATACAGCCCCTATGCCCAATAATAAGACGTAGACATCGAGTGTCGAATATACAAAAAATATAATCATTTATACATATATAACATCCTCTTTTTTGTATATATATACTAAACCGTAACCGAAATAGTAAACAAACTGACGACTCATCTGATACGACGTTGCCACTTTTTTTTACATGCTTAAGATATAGTCTGTAACTACTCTGGTGAGTGTGGCGGCCTTTTAAGGAGGAATAAGCTCATTTTTTTGGTTTCGAATATCGGTGCAGAAATAATAATACCCCTGGACAATTCACACAACGCCATCTAGTCCCAAGTTAAGCAGAGCTTCATTTATGAGTACTAGATAACTAATATAAATATATACATAATACACAGAAACAGCCAGACCGATACAAACAATTATACTCATGAATACAAACATTTGTACCGTGCGTGGAATTGAACCCCCGAATATAGGAAATAAAACGGTGTGCTAAACCACTAGACCACCGAGACCATCTAGTATCTCTAGTAGGAGCTGATTCCAGAATTAGGTTTCTCAAAGAGCGGTAAGGTTTCTCAACAATTTTCGGTGCAGGACCGCCAGTAACCTAGGTGATCAGGATTACCATCCTTTTTAATTGCTTATCATCAGGTCGAACACATTGTTTGCTATTTCGCTTACATAAAAAAAATGTGACAACAACTGTCTATATACATGTACTGCACCACAGACTTCATCATATTAAAAAGAAATAATTCTCAATACAAATAAGAGTTAACAAGCGAAGATTACATGAGTCAATGCAAATATAAAGTCTATGGGTCCTTCGGGCCCCGGAAGAATTTGCGAACTTTACGGAACACTCCATTCTTCTTCTTGTCTCTGCCGCCGCTGCTGAAGTCGCTGATGGAGGTGCTATCATCAGGGTGCGTGATGACGATATGGTTGGTGTCCATGTCGCTGGTGCTCACGCTCAGCTGCGAGCTGGTCATGAATTCGGTCATGGTGTTCGACATTTCCGTTATGTCGAGAGTCGACGTTGAAGAGCACATGCCGTTTGCTCTGAAATAAAATGATTTCAATTGAATGATTCTATGTATAATATAGAAATACAGTCAAACCGTATCAGTTGAGTTTCTTTAAAACTGACCGACTGAAAAGCACATTTTCGTCACGGATTACAAAAACCGAAATGCGAAAACGTGTCCGTATATGCATTCGAAATTGTGGGGTTTCATATTGAGCAAGATTTGTAAAAATAATAAACTTTTATTTCTGTATAAATTTGTTTCATTGAACTGTCCAAAATGAATTGACACCTTTTAAAGATTCTCCTTACCGTAATTTTTTTTTTTAATATTCATTTTCAGTTAAATATTGACTATTATACCTTTTTAGATAGCTTATTAGATGAGAAAGTTTTTTAGTAATTTGTACGCTTAGAGTCATTATGTTTTGTTACCATGTCCTCTACACATAAAAATTAGGTTGAAAGACATTCAACAAGCCAATTTTTTTTAATAATATTCTAAAGACGCTGTATTGGATATTTTTTTAAAAATCTCAAAATTCAAAACAAGGCGAAAACTATCAACTCTTGACATATATAGGGTCAAAATTATTGCATTTGAGCTCCTCTATCTCGTCCTGACGGGAATACGTCGAGTTACCAGTAACCCTGTATAAGATTATTTCTATTCTATTCTATTACAGATATATTTTAATATTTATTTTGACGACCTCGGTGGTTTAGCGGTCAAGCACACCGCTTTACGACCGATGGTCGCGGGTTCGATTCCTCGCACGGCACAAACATTTGTATACATGAGTATGATTGTTTGTATCGGTCTGGGTGTTTTCTATGTATAATATGTATGTATTTACAAAAAAAAAAAAATCTATGTATATGTATCAGTTATCTAGTACCCCATAACACAAGCTCTAGCTAGCTTAACTTGGGTCTAGATGGCTCTGTGTGAATTGTCCTGAGATTATTATATTATATTATATGTACAGATAAATATCACAAGTGTTACCTAGGTATTTGCACTTGTCGCAGCGACTCGCTGAGTTTCTCCCAGAAGTCGTACGGCGCCCACTTGTCGGGCTGGTAAATCAGCTTGTGGTAGTATGTGAGGTTAACGGGCAGCCGACACGGCCGGTAGATTATTGGGATTATGTTGCGTTGTTTAGATTCTGCACATATAAAATTACTTGATAATGTCTAAATCGTATTTCTCAACCTTGTTATGACGACCTCGGTGCTCTACCGGTCTGGCACACTGGACATCTACGTTTGAAACCTTCGAAATCAACTCGTTCGAGCAGTTCTACATTAACTACGCGTATGAGAAACTACAGCAGCAGTTCAATTCGAATTCAATTCAAGCTTGAAGAGGACGAATATATAAAGGTATGTAGTTATTTCTGCTTTTTATGTAATTAGTATGACGACCTCGGCGGTCTAGCGGTCTAGCACACCGCTTTACGTTTGATGGTCGCGGGTTCGATTCCTCGCACGGCATAAATATTTTGTATTCATGAGTATGATTGTTTTTATAGGTCCGGGTGTTTTCTTTATATAATATGTAAGTTTTTACGAAAAAAAATCTATGTATTTGTATCAGTTATTTAGTGCCCATAACACAAGCTTTACCTAGCTTAACTTGGGTCTAGATGGCGCTGTGTGAAATGTCCTGAGATTATTATTATTATTATTGATTTGAGTAGTCATGCTCACTAAAATGTCCAGACATGTGGCGGCGTGATGGGCCGAGTTATTGGGTTCACTAAAATAAGGTCGAGCGCAGTGGTGGCTAGCTCATACGTCATACTCGTGAACGGGTGCTGCTTGTAGGGACTGGTCTGCTCTAATCACTAGGACTGATTTATTATTGTGTCTTTTTATTGGATCCTAACAAATTAGTGCTAGTTGGTAGTTTGTATACGCAAGTTTCGAATTGGAAATGTAAACTTACAAGGATTATTTAAAAGAGCAACACGCAAGTTTCTTGCTCGTTATTCTTGTGATGATATATATATATATATATGTAAAGTGTACAATTGTCAAAGGTGTATATGTAATAATGGTTGACAATAAATGTTTTTTTTTCTTTCTTTGATGAGACAGCTTCCCGAATGAGCGGTAGATTAAAAGAATGATAACAATGACTATTCAAAAGTGCTTAAATTAAGTTTATTTGAATAAATGATTTTCTATTCTATTCTTATGTACTTCGCCGTAGAAATTTCTTTTAGTATGTGAGTGAAACCTATTTATATGATTTTCAAGAGTTATTGCAAATGGGGTAGTCAAAGAAATCAATTTGGTTTGTAATAATAATAATAATTTATGTATGTATTTATTATTATGTAAGTTTTTATATCAATTATCTCGTACCCATAACACAAGCTCTGTTTAGCTTTCTTTTTTTTCTGACTACTCTAATGCTGTTGGCCGCAGCTGGCCTTTACAGCTTCACCGAACGTTAGGGGGCGAGTGCAGATGGCACTCCAAACCCGCGGAAGGACGTATGGAGCGGCTGAAGGCCAACTCCCGTCTGACGGATACGATAGTCTGAGGGCACCGTTAGGAGTTCGAGCCTCGGCTCAGGCCGTCGTAATATCGATCCCTGTTTGAATTGGACGGGGGATCGATCGGAGGGGCTCTGTTTAGCGTAGGACTAAATGGGTCTGTGTGAATTGTCTTGAAATTATTATAATTTTAATATGTATTATACATACATACATTATATCTCCTCATTTCATACAAATGCAGTTTTACAACATTGAATTTGTATATGACGTCTCTACTAATGTACGCTTTCAACCGCCTTCAGGCTGGCCTTATGGCTATTCACCAAATAAATCGTGAGACTTACCAATGCCAACAGCTTGTGCGTAGTCTGTGTAGAATGAGTTGGCACGACTGCTGAGAAACGCCGGCGAATAAACTAGGATTATACGGTAACACCGCTCGGAGATGAGTTGGGCGACGGGTGCGTACGGCGTCTCGTGGCCGGGGTCCAAGTCCAGTATCGTACACAGCTGTAATACATGAAATATAATTTTATTTATTTTATTACTCTAGCGATTAAAAAGAAGCGACATCATGTAATGTTTGTAATATACTTAAGGAGCAGATCCTCCCATCCAGACACTCCAGTCTTAGCTCCCACGCACAAAAAACTGCTCATAGCTCTGGGACTAATTGCAGACAGGAAAAACAATAAAAAATAAATTATTACTCTTTTATTATTGCACCTTAAAAAAACGATAATTAGTAGAGATGAAACGGATAGCAGTTTGGTCGGATACCGGATATTCGGCCAACGATGTGACGAATAGCCGGATATCCGGCGGAACTTAGCTAACTAATAAATAATTTTCTTTCTATAACAGTCATTTACTATTGAGTGATTAAAAATTTAAAACTAATTTGATTCCTTATGTAATACTCAGCCTAACTAAATAAATCAAATAATTACTTAAAAAAATATATATATAGTCGAATAGTAGTTATCCGGTATTCGGCCGTATAGTATTAAGGCTGCCGGATAGGCCGGATACCGGATAGTTACCGGATATCCGTTTCACCTCTAATAGTTAGAGCTTCGAAAAATGAAGAGTTTCATATCCACCTGAATGTTACAACAATTCATCACATAATAAACAGGAAATATACAGACCTATACTCTAAACATCATAAGCCATTGGCAGCACAGCTCTTGGAGCTTTGTCACACAGTCAAGAGACTGAAGGAGAAGTATACTATAGAAAGGCAGAAGTGGTGCTAACCTCTTCACCTACAAATGAAGCAGCATTCAACACCAGATGTGATCTTATAGTCTTGCGACTAATTGCCGAATAAAATAGTAAAAAAAAAGGAGCAGGGGTGAGCAACCTTTTTAATCGGTTAACCTACAAGTGGTCCCCCTGAAACAATCGTGACAAAGTCATGGTGAATTTACCACGATGGGCTAACGAACCTGACCTCGTGCTCATCTTATCATCCTCCACTGGAGCCCAGCCAGCGCAGGCAGATGCACCATTCCATTATCATCCATAAGAAGAAAAAAACCTCTTTAATCAACTATACTCTGTGCTGTAGC